CTCGGCCGAGGGGAAGGTCGGGGATGGCGCCTCGGCCCGAGTAGGGGAGGGTTACTCGCGCTAATTATCTTCTAGTTAAATTTCGTAGTAACAACAGGCGGTGCCGGAGTATGAGATCGAGGACGATGTGAATGTAAGGACCGGAGTGTCGCAACGTGGGAAGGAAGGACACTGAGGGGACGCTGGAGTGAGCGGTTGACCGGCGGGCGGGTCACGCGGGCCCCGCCGCCAAGGCGCATGGCAGGTCTCGCCCAGCACATCCCTGGCCCCGCCGCAGCATAAAAAAGGGGTGCGTCACCGCTACCGCGGAGCGAGAGGACGCCCCGGACGCCTTGCCCCGGCGGTACTTGGGGCACCGAGCAGGATAGCCACGACCTGGCCAGCCGGGCTAACACTGAGATAGGCCCATACACAGGACAGCCAGTTGAAATTGCCGCGGGTAAGCAGCGGATACGAGCGGTGCCGCGAGCAGGGCGGCACACGCGACAGATCGGCGGGGCAGAAAATTGCGAGCCTGGGGCTGCATGCGCGGGCCCAGCGTGGTCCCGCCGGGCCGGCCGTTCATCACTGTCGAATCAGCTGCAGGCGAGGAGCCATCCCGAGAGAAGTGTCCCGATGCCGTCGAGCAGTAGCGAGCAGCGATTTTGTAAGATCTCCACTCCGGTACTGCCGCGATATTAAGAGCTCCATCTCGGCCACGGCCCCGTACAATTGAATGCAAGTATCGATTAAATTACCGTGTCGATCCGTCGGATTAACCTCTGCAAGTGATTACTGGCTCCCGTTGCGGTGGATGCCGGTTAGATTATCGTGGCGTTTAATTGAGATCGCGGGCGCAGGGCTGGCTGAAATCGTACCCGGGAAGTTCATTGTAAGGTCCTCCTCAAAAACCGCGCGGCCGACAGTCAATTCGTTTATCGTATCGTGTTGCGTATTCGTGTATGTTACTCGTCGTGGATAGAAACGTGCCGCAGGCGGTGCGTTTCGGGAGATATCGCGTGAGGCTTAGTGCGTTGTTCACGCCCGCGCTTATTGTATCGTGTTGCGTTGTCGGGAATATCGCGTATTCGGGAATATTGTCGTTGCGGTGGACATAGGCAATGTCCACACCGAGAGCCTCGCGGATATTTTGCGTCGTGTCGTGCGAGCAAGTATTGTCGCGCTCGCTCGAAAAGGATCGTATAATTCCGTATTCGGGAAAATTGCTATTACGTAGCGTTGGGCTTTGTGAATTCGCGTTGTATGTACCGTACGGTGCTGGTGAGAATCACCGCATATTCAGATTTATACGGGGTGTCGAGATTGATAATTGTTGCGTGCTCAGATTGATGGGATTGCTCGCGTTCGTTTGTACATCGCTTAGTTCGAGATTACCTCTACGGATTGAGATTATTGCGTATTCGCGTTCACACGGATCGGAATTGCCGGACTCGCTTGGGAGTCTCGCAGGTATTTCACGCCGCCGTTCGGGCGGACATCGTCGTACTCGCTCGAAAGGGGAGACTTGCGGACATAAGATCACCACGTGCTCCGCGCGTGCATTAGCTACCGATTCAGTTACCGCGCTCATACTAACATCAAAATTGCCTTTGATCTACCGTTGGATTTCCACCATATTATGCTTATCATTTCTCTGAAATATATCTTTGTTACTGTTTAATTTGTGTTGATTGCGCTACGCCCCTCCTCGCTCCTCCTCGAAAGAACGTTACCAACGCCCTGAGCTCACGTCCGGGTGGCGGATATTGAGACCGGAAGTTAAGTTAGGAAACGTGGTGCGCGTAATCGCACCTGGCGTCCATCAGGATTGTCGGGAGAAATCTGTCGCGAGTATTGGTGAGTTATTAGCTATTACGAGTTAATTTGCGGCCGCGCCCCTTCGGTTAGCGAGACCGAAGGAAATCGGGTCGCAAATCTAAAAAAAATTATGAGAACTGCTTTCATTTAGTATAAAAACATAAAAAATTTTTCGCCAAATCAAAAATGGTCGAGAAAAATCCTCGGTGATTTGACATGGAATGCTCCATATATATATATATATCTATATATATAAGGGAGACCGGGGCGAAGTCGACCCTATTTTTTCGGTGCCAATTTTTAACAACAAAATAAATCATTTTAGTGAAACATAGTATACCATTGTAAAGAGTAAACACTTGGCTACAAAATTTTTTGCTCTAAGTCGCTTTGTTCAATCGGTATAGAGTAAAAACAACAAAGGTGCAAAAATTGAAATTTCAAAATTCCCGGGGCGGAGTCGTCACTTTATTCTCGGACTGGATTTTAAATAAAAATACATAATTTTGATTATAAAAAATAATAGGACATTTTATTCATTGTTTTTAAGTAAAAAAATGGAAAGCAAAAAATAATTTCAAGAAAATCAATTTTCTTTTTTGCTATCAGTGTCACTGAAACAGTCAAAGCATGTAGAAACAGAGTCTGACAAGCGCACGCACTCGCTGTGTGCCTTACGCCTGCACGAAATGCACTGTTTTTCATCGGCTCTGTTTTCTATTATCTCCGAGCATACGCAGCACATATTATTTAGCTTTCTTGACTTCGTTTTTCGTCCACTGCTCGTCAAAGGCTGCGGTTCTGATTGCGTAGCATTTTTTTTTGGGGCCGGCATCTCTTTCTCGGCGTAGTGGTAATGGTCGATTTTGTCGTTCTCTTCCTTGTAGCAGATTTCTCATCTTTCTTCCGCTTCGACTCCGCCTGCTCAGTCGCCAATTCCTTCATTTAAGGCGAGTCAGTAAGGACGGCGGTCGTTCTTCGTTTTCGTTTTTTAAGAGTCTGCCTCGGAGCGGCTTTAGGAAACGCTCAAATACTTTTAACTTTTGTTATGCACCGGGGGTAGGAGATACCCCAGCGTATTTTCAAACGCGTTTTTCTAATACGTTTTTCTAATACAACGCGAGTCGGGACCTGTGCTGCCATCTACCTGTAGTCTAGGAATAACACTTCAAGATCCTATACATAGTTTTGCCCGCCCGGCTTTAGTCTGCTCTTGGCAGTGATGAAAAGTTGAAAAACGCGTGACTTCATATAGCAAAATAAATACTTTTTTCAACTCCGCTATAAACTAATATTTTTCCTTAAAAGTGTAGTATTTCAAGAAAGTTATCCCGCAAAAATTATTAAAAAATATTAAAAATTGAATTTTTATGCATTTTTTAGTGAAAAGTCCATTTTTCGGTTTTTTTAGTTAACATATCATTTATAATTCTTTTATGTTGCAAAATATTAATGAAACCTATTAGACTTTATTTTGGAAGCTTTGAACAATAGCCAGCAATTTTGTTTGAGGCAAAATAACGAATTGTACGTCTGTAATAAACGTTTTAAGTGACTGGGGTATGACATACCCCCTGTGCATAATACGTAATTTCGAAGAAGTGTGCATAACAAAGGTTAAGTATTCTAGCGTACCATTTTCCTGCAGTTGAAAAATACAATGACGCATTTGCAACGGAAAATAGAGTAAAACCACCGGGACGAGTCCGCCCCGGTGGCTTGATCACGACTTCGCTCTGAACAGAAGTTTTAGGCCGCGTTTACAGTATTAATGGCAAGTCCACACAACATACAGATTTCGAGATAATTGCAAAAACAACTCTGTTCCGGGGCCGACTTCGCCCTGGTCTCCTCTATAATAAACATGTAAACAATAGAAAATGGAGTGTAAAATTCTACCGCAAAACCTCCGCGTGGCGCACTCTGGAATCGTAAAAACATTTTATCGGCTAATAACGGAAGTAAAAGTATCCATAATGGAATACCGTTAGTCACTAGAAGCCACCATATTGGATCCGCCATTGTAAATTTCGCGACTTCACGTTCATCACCAGCAACCCGAAAAACCCTCTATAAAAAAGATTTTGTTACAAAATCGAATGGGAATATCAATCTTAATAAATATTTTTCACAAAAACTGATAATATTGGGTATTTAAGTGCCGTCATATTAGATCCACCATTATAAGTTTCTTAAATTTGACTTCGGATTTATAGTCATCGACCCAAAAAACATAGGTGTATCAAGTTTAATGCAAATGCGTTGAAAATTGGCAGAACTATTGGTAATTATGCATATTAAGACCCCACTCGCCAATGACCTTGACCTTGATATATGTTGTCAAGGTCATGACCCTGAGTAACCTTGACCTTGAAAAAAGTGGCGGTCACGATCCGTTCAAAAATTACGAAGCATTAAAGTTTTTGCTTTGCAAAATTAGTTGTATATCGCCACAAATATTCACACAGATGATCGACTAACTATCTTGTAAATGACTAATATATATGTGGAAATAGTACATGTACGAACAAAGGAAAGCCTTTTAAAGCAGTAAATGGAAATTTTAAAAAAGTGGAAAACCAACGCATGTACTTTGAAGGCACACTATGTGTCTAGTTTAACAATAGTGGAGCCCTCCGCTGTCAAGGTCAAGGTCATTGGTGAGTGGGGTCTTAATATGCATAATTACCGAACTATTAATGATGCTCATATACAAATTATTATATCAGTTGTGGCAATTTTTTTTGCTTATATATGAGTCATTACTAGTACGAAGTAACATTTACTTTGTCAAAACAGTAAAGACTGATTATACACCATTGACCAAATGATCAATGTTCCATTTTATTATTGTCCATTCACCTTAATACGTTTTATCGCGATAAATATTACCACATGCTTTATCGAATTGATACGACATGCGGAATGACGGAAGTTTTAGGTTCGAACTCCATTTGAGTTAATATTTTTCGCAATGAATTATTTACACAGAAATTTAAAATAAGGATATACATATAAATATCAAAATTAAAATTTAAAAGGACTAAAACCTATGGTCAAAAAGTCTTAACGATTAATTTGACTAAAACCAACGGTTGTATTGTCATGACGATTATAATGATAACCAGTAGCGTCGATTAAGTCTTTACAGCAGTAATTATTATTTTGTAATAGTATAAATAATTATTGTTTTGACATTTCAGTATTCCCTGCGGGCATTCTACAACCGCTTTTTTACTCTCAACACTTTCCCAAATCCTTGAATTATGGCGGCATCGGTGTAGTAATCGGTCATGAAATCACCCATGGTTTCGACGATAAGGGTCGTCAATTCGACAAAGACGGCAATCTAATGCAATGGTGGAACAATGCTACTATTAAGGCATTTCGTAAAAGAGCGCAGTGCATCGTGGACCAGTACTCTAGATATAAATTGCAGGAAGTGAATCTATACATCAACGGTAGGATGACTCAAGGAGAGAATATTGCCGATAACGGTGGTCTCAAGCAGGCTTTCAGGGTAATTAAAAAAAAACTACGCTATTTGCAAGTCAATGTCCTAGAAACACCAAAAGTTTCAAAGAGAACCAAGCTATTCTACATATTGTATGTTTGGCGCTCACCAAACTGTAGATAGATGCATGTATCATACTCATTAGTTTAGTCTCGTTCTTACTCGTTGTACATAGTAGTCTTCGCATATCTAGTATTAAGTATTTCGGTGACTCGCGCGAAACGTCGGCGGATCGCGATCGACGCGGAATCGATATTTGCGCGACTCACCAATCGGTGCTGCCCTCGCTCACCCCACGAGGGCACCCGCCTGAAGAACAAGTACTTGCTCGCGACACTGTTCCAGCGCCGCGGGCACTCAGCACTCATCGTTACGACGTCTCGGAGCACAGAGGCTTTCGCTAATATTCGGAGTCGCGAGATCACCAGCCCGCTCCCTGATAGTGCGATCGCCTACTTTCTCGGACTGCTTGTTTGCTGCCTTTATCTGCTTCCTCCTGCTTGCTTGCTGCCTGCCTTGACTTGCTTGCTGCCTGCCTTGCATTTGACTTGCTTGCTGCCCTGCTTGCGCTGCTGCACGCGCCCGATCGTGACCGAGAGACGAAGCATCCAGGAGTCGACGGCACAACGAACGGTGAGTCGCATTTGCTTAACTTAATTCGCTTTGGGGAGACTTTACACACACCCTCTGGTCCTTCGAGCTTCGCTTTATCGCAAATCCGGGTACGGCTCTACCGCCCCCCGAGCATCTGGTTCTTCGAGCCGGATAGTCATATCTTCGCGATTAGTCTATTGCCGCCGCCCTTTCGCGTGTCCTTTCATTGTTCTAAGTCACCGAATCTTGTGTTCTGTAACGCGTAGTGCAATAGCGCGTGGCCTTGCGGGTCTCGCAGGATCTCCCGTTTCGCAACGCTCGCTTCGCGAAGGGAATACTCGCGTAGCATCGCGCAATCGGCCATTAGCCATCGGTAATTTACGCGAATTCGCTGATTATTTGTTCTCGCATCAACAAGGTGCAATAACGCTCGGCGTGCTGACAACTCGTGTTTCGCGCGGTATTTCTCGTGCAACGCTCGCTTCACAACGGGAATACGCGCGCGAACATCGTTCGTCATAGCACGGGCCGCAGCCGTTAGTCGCTTTAAAATCGATTTCGCGCTCGACGCGGTAATTAGTCGCCATATAATTGGCTAGATCGTAACCAAATTATTTGGTCGAATATCCGAGTATTCCGGGCCAGCGATACTTCGCATCATAGACAACGGCCGTGGCCTTCGATCACGGGCCGGTCACGTGCGCATTGTTTTTCCGTATAGTCTCGGGCATCGCTCGTGTTTTCGTCGTTGCGAGGTGACGTATAGCCCGACCCAACACTTGTTTTATCCCGACATTCGTGATCCGTGCGAGAGTACCATCGCTCGAGAATATTATTGTCGTCGATCGAGAATATTTGCCTTTCGAGTTTCTGCGACGCGTGTCCTGACGTCCGCGAGTCGGATCGCATCTTTGTTTATCGCGCTAATCCGGCGGCTGGTGTTCTCCACGTTCAACTCGAGGAATATTACCGAGAATATTCCCTCGTGACTTTGCGCGAGCATCGAACGGAGCAGTCCGTTATCCCTCACCTTGGCGACCTGACTTTCGTGTTTGTTTTCGCCGGGTTTTGATATTGTTGGTTCGAGTTGCCATCGCCTCCGATTACCTATTCGCCGTCCTTCCTTTGCTCTTAGCTTCGTCTGTCTGTTGTGGATGACCCCTTTGTTACATCATGTCGAAAAACGCATATGCTCGTCGCAAAGTATGCAATCGGCGTATGCGAGAAATACACGACCTCTCCCTACAAGCCGCGACCGACGCGGCAATCCGAGCGACTTTCCTCGCTCGCTACTCGAGCGTAGCGAAGATCGCGGACGATTTTGAGGTCACCCATCTGAAGGTCATCCAAGAAGCGGCGGACTTTGATGTCGAGGACGAAATCCGAGCCAGTTTTGATAAGATGCATTACGCCGTAAAAAGTCGCTATCATCATGAAACGGGCGCGCCACTCGGAGGCGCGCCGGCACCGCCCTCGTGTCAGGCCTCGGTGGTCAAGTTGCCTAAGATCCCGCTACCGCAGTTTTCCGGCGACCTCACGTTGTGGCCTTCCTTCATCGCGTTGTTCAACGCGTCGATACACAACCAGCAGATTTCCGCGATAGAGAAATACCAGTATCTGCTAGCCTCGCTCAAAGGGGAACCACTCAACGTGGTGAAAAACCTGCCGTTTTCCGAGGAGTACTATCTGATCGCTTACGACTCGCTGGTAGATCAATACCGGAATAAGAGAAAGTTAGCGGACCATCTCTTGAATTCGATAATCGAGGCAGAGCCATTGAAGGCGGAGTCGGCCGAGGCTCTTCACCACTTATTAGATACGTTTACCGAGAACAGGCGCGCGCTCGCATTGATGAAGTTCCCTACCGATTCATGGGACTTTATCCTACTAAAGTTTTTGTTAGACAAGCTTCCTCGTTTCCTTCGGGAAAAATTCGAGTCTGCTCACCGGGCTGAGGAGAAACCGCGATATACTCAACTCACGAAATTTCTAGCGGAACATTGTCAGGTTCTCGAGGCCGTCGCGGGCCCGTCCTCCAAAACCAAGTCCACGCCGGTCTCTTCGTTCGTGACTAACACGGCCGATTGCCCCGTTTGTAAAGAGCCTCACTACGTGTCGAAGTGCTCCCAGTTTTTGAAACTCTCGCCGAGAGAGAGGCAGGCTAAGGCTCGCGACTTAAATTGTGCCTCAATTGCCTGCGCTCAGGGCATGGCATGAAAAATTGTCTTTCCGCATGGACATGTCGGTCCAAAGCATCATACGCTTCTGCATTACGAGCAGAGCTCCAATACTACTCCTAAGACCGAACCCATTAGCGCGACTCCTGCCGAACCGGACGCCGTACCCGCTCCTCAGTAGGAGGATGCGCCGATTGTAACAATGACTAGCCTAGCCAATAGAATCGTCCTCCTGTCCACCGTACGAGCCGAGGCGATAGACGCGCGTGGCAATGTGTTCCCCGTACGCATATTGCTGGACAGCGCGAGTCAGGCCAATTTCATTACCGAGGGCTGCCTTCGGAAGGGCGGCTTTCGTCGCACCAAACACAGTGCAACTGTGTTGGCGATAAACGAAGCTAGGGCGGCCACGACGAGGGGCCTCACCTCCCTCGTGATCCGCGCGCGCGGTCGCGACGACACTCGGTTCCCGATAGAGGCTACGGTCCTCTCGCGCATAACCTCGCCGCTGTCTAATGACAAGGTGGAGGTCCAATCGTGGAAACACTTGAAGGGATTGCCGCTCGCGGATCCCGAATATTACGTGCCCGGCAGTGTTGACATCCTCTTAGGGGCGGACTCGTTTGTGTCGATACTACGGGATGGCCGTCGTAAGGGGGAAAAAGGAGAACCCGACGCCTTCAATTCAGTCTTCGGATGGGTCCTGACGGGCGCGGTATCCCCGTCAGTCCAAGCAACACCCCTGCTGTCAGTCGCGACTACGCTCGAGTCGATCGAGACATCAGTGGGTCGCTTTTGGCAATTGGAGGAGGTGCCGGAGGACGCTTCTTGTTCGGACGAGGATCGACGCTGCAAGGAGATTTTCGCCCAGACCACGTATCGTGACCCCTCGGGTCGTTTCGTGGTCTCGTACTCGTTCGTGTCGGATCCTCCTACATTCGTCGGCTCGCTCTCCATAGCGGTTAGTCGTCTCCGCGCACTAGAACGTCGATTTAAATCTGATCCGGAGTTCAGAGTTGGTTACAATAGTTTCATGCAGGACTATCTCGATAGCGGACACATGGAGATAATTCGCAATCCATTCTCGTCGGATGGCCACATTTATTATTTACCGCACCACGGTGTATATAAACTCGATAGCACTACCACTAAGTTGCGGGTAGTGTTTAACGCGTCCTCGCGCTGCCCGAACGGTCTGTCGATCAACGACACTCTGCTCAGCGGTCCGAAGCTGCAGCAAGACTTGCTCGCCATCCTGCTTAGGTTCCGCGCCAAAGCGATCGCTCTAACCGCGGACGTGAAGCAGATGTTTCGCCAGATTTGGATAAGCCCGGAGCAATGCGACTACCAACGTATCGTCTGGCGCTTCTCGGAGTCGGATCCCATCCTCGACTATCTCCTCAAAACCGTTACGTTCGGCTTTACCGCCTCCCCGTTCTTGGCGATCTATTGTTTGCTCCAGTTAGCTCATCAATACCGCGAGAAATATCCTCTAGCGTTCGCAGCCCTACTCGAGGCGCTGTATGTGGATGACGTCGTGACTAGCGTTCGTACGGTGGAACAGGCTCGTGCACTCCGCGACCAATTGCTATCGCTTTTCCGAAGCGCCGGCTTCGAGCTTAGAAAGTGGTCGAGCAGCCATCCTGCCGCGCTGGAGGGCCTCGACACGCATTTATGTAGCCAATCAATGTTAGATTTCGAGTCAAGCGAGGATCAATCTCAGAAGATATTGGGCCTTCGGTGGCACTCACAATCTGATAGTTTCGGGTTTCAAGTCAACGCGTTGGATCGTGAGTGCACCAAACGCACTATATTATCGGAAGTAGCGCGCATCTTCGACCCCTTGGGTTCTCTGGCCCCACTCACCTTTACCGCGAAGTGCTTAATTCAGCGTCTGTGGACCCTTAAATTAGATTGGGATGAGGAGCCACCGATGGACATTCGTCGCAGTTGGAACCGTTTCCAGACGGAGCTCGGCGTGTTATTCTCCCTTCGCGTTCCTCGCGCGTTTAACTCGTGCCATGTAGTTTGTTGCGAGCTCCACGGGTTCTGCGATGCCAGCAAGCTGGGGTACGGAGCCGTGATTTATCTGCGAATCGTTACGCGCGACGGCGTCGTGGTCCGCTTACTGTGCGCCAAGTCTAAGGTCGCCCCGTTTCGCCCCCTCACCATTCCCCGTCTGGAGCTCTGCGCGGCTCTGCTCTTGTCCAAATTAATCGCGTACGTCCGGCGCATCCTCCACGGACACATTGACATTGACGACGAGTATGCTTGGACGGATTCCGAGGTCGCCCGGGCCTGGATCCGCTCAGCACCACAACGGTGGAAGACTTTTGTTAGAAATCGCGTTGCCCTCATTCAGGACAACGTGCCGGTCTCAGCTTGGGGCCACGTCGACACGGAGTCCAATCCGGCGGATCATTGCTCCCGAGGACTTTACCCTCGTGATCTGGTGGCCAGTTCGATGTGGTGGGCGGGCCCTGAGTGGCTTGTTCGCTTCGAACCCCGAGTTGAACCTTCCCACAGTTCGGAAACCCCTCCGACCGAGGAGGAGAAAATCGTATCGCTCGTGGCGCTCGATCCGCCTGACGCGGTACATTCATTGCTAGAAAGATTCTCTTTAATCGAGAAAATTTGTCGAATTATAGCATACATTCTTAGGTTTGTAAATCACTTCCGTGCAAAATCGGCTCCCACGACTTTGGCCATAGATCAGCTCGAACTGCATTCCGCGTTACTAGTAGTTGTAAAGAGTGTACAGGCGGATGCTTTCCGCGATGAGATCAATCGTCTTCAAAGCGGGAGAAGGCTCCCCAAGCCCCTTCTCAAGCTTGCTCCCTTCCTTGATCCTGTGGGTATTCTCAGGGTGGGCGGCAGGCTTGCTAAATCCGGATTGACATTCGAGAACAAGCACCCTGCCTTACTGCCCAGTAAACATAGGCTCACGGATCTCGTTATCGAACATGTGCACCGCACGAACCTGCACCCTGGTCGGCGCACGCTGCAATACCTGCTCACGCAACATTATTGGGTCCTCGGGGTGCATCGCGCTATCCAACGCGTACTCTCGAGATGTCATCGATGTTTCCGCGTAAATCCACCCACTTCCCAGCCTCTCATGGCGGATCTACCGGCCGATAGGGTCCGACGGGCCAAGCCATTTTCGATCAGCGGCGTTGATTTCGCGGGACCGTTCAACATAGTTACGCGACGAGCCCGGGGAGTCTCCTCCTTCAAAGTATACGCGTGCTTTTTCGTATGCTTTTCGGTTAAAACGGTGCACTTGGAAGCCGCCTTCTCGTTGTCCACGGACTCCTTTCTCGCTGCGCTGCGACGCTTTGTGGCCCGACGCGGACGCTGCTCGCTTCTCTATAGCAACTGCGGCACGAATTTTGTAGGGGCCGCGCGGGAGCTAGAAAGCCGCATGAGCCTCGCAGCGGAGCGAGAGAAGATCAAGTGGTCCTTTAATCCTCCCTCAGCGCCCCACTTCGGGGGCCTCTGGGAGGCGGGAGTCAAGACTTTTAAAACTCACCTACGGCGGACCGTGGGTGATCAAGTCCTCTCAATAGAGGAATTCACGACGGTCCTCGCGCAGGTCGAGGCCGTCTTGAATTCCAGACCCCTCTGCCCGATGAGCACCGACCCTGCCAACCTCGAAGTCCTATCACCGGGTCACTTCCTCACGATGGAACCGCTCGTCTCCGTTCCCACTCAAGATGTGACTCCGTTACCGATAAATCGTCTGAGTCGATGGCAACTCGTCCAACGAATACACCAGGACTTCTGGAAGCGCTGGCATCAGGAGTATCTCCATACGCTGCAACAGCGTCCCAAATGGTGGACTTCCGTCAACCCGCTCGGTATCGGTGCGTTGGTCTTCCTCAAGGACGCCAACATGCCTCCTCTGCGTTGGAGGCGAGGACGAGTGGAGGCGCTGCATCCGGGCAGCGACGGCGTCCCGCGTGTCGCCACGGTGCGGGTGGCGGATGGCACGATCACGCGCCCCCTAGTGAAGCTGTGCCCCCTGCCGATGGGCCCTGCTCCACAAGCGACCGATTCAGATCGCTAGTAAAATACAACTCGTTGTATTTTGGTGGGCGGTATGTTTGGCGCTCACCAAACTGTAGATAGATGCATGTATCATACTCATTAGTTTAGTCTTGTTCTTACTCGTTGTACATAGTAGTCTTCGTATATCTAGTATTAAGTATTTCGGTGACTCGCGCGAAACGTCGGCGGATCGCGATCGACGCGGAATCGATATTTGCGCGACTCACCAATCGGTGCTGCCCTTGCTCACCCCACGAGGGCACCCGCCTGAAGAACAAGTACTCGCTCGCGACACTGTTCCAGCGCCGCGGGCACTCAGCACTCATCGTTACGACGTCTCGGAGCACAGAGGCTTTCGCTAATATTCGGAGTCGCGAGATCACCAGCCCGCTCCCTGATAGTGCGATCGCCTACTTTTTCGGCCTGCTTGTTTGCTGCCTTTATCTGCTTCCTCCTGCTTGCTTGCTGCCTGCCTTGACTTGCTTGCTGCCTGCCTTGCATTTGACTTGCTTGCTGCCCTGCTTGCGCTGCTGCACGCGCCCGATCGTGACCGAGAGACGAAGCATCCAGGAGTCGACGGCACAACGAACGGTGAGTCGCATTTGCTTAACTTAATTCGCTTTGGGGAGACTTTACACACACCTCCTGGTCCTTCGAGCTTCGCTTTATCGCAAATCCGGGTACGGCTCTACCGCCCCCCGAGCATTGTACATTTTGGAAAAATTTTTAGCTGAAAGTACATTTAAAGATATAAAATTTTTAAATTTTAGTGTTGAAAGCATGTTTAATGTTAATAATAATTTCTCTTCATCAAACAGGCTTACAAGAAATGGGTTTTTATTCACGGCGAAGAACCGTTGTTGCCGGGAGTGAACCTCACGCACGATCAGTTGTTCTTTCTCAACTATGCACAAATCTGGTGTGGTTCTATGAGACCGGAAGACGCTCTTACGAAGATCCGTAGCAGTGTACATTCGCCCGGATCGGTACGAGTGCTGGGCCCTTTGTCAAACAGCGAAGACTTTGCCAAGGCTTTCGACTGTCCGTTAGACTCGCCGATGAATCCCAAGAAAAAATGCAATGTTTGGTAGTTTGTGTTTGATGATATATGAAATATATCACCTTGATATAATCAACATTTTAAATTGGGAAGAGAGAATTACGGAAGCTAAAAGTTTTCGAGCCATTCCGGAGTTAAGAACCTGTGTCCTTTGACTATTCATTTAGCGTTGAACAACGTCAAATGTTCAGTCATTATGTTGTACATATATAAATCTAATGACATTCGTATCGAACGAGATGTAAATATACACCTAGACAGCACTATGTCCAAAATCGGGACATAATACGTCTTTTTGACATCTTTTAGACGTCTTATGTCTCGCTTTTGGACAAATGTGCTGTATGGGCACGCGTTATAATATCAAAAGAGACCAAATTTAAATTTATATTTAAGAGAAGAGGTTTCTTCTAGTCCTTTACTTAAATATACGACAGATATAATCAGTATTTATTTTCCCATATCACAATATATACTTTCTGTCTTTCAACTGCTATTTCATTCAAACGTGATCACATCCCACGCAGCACATCTGAGGGACGTCTTACAGACATTTTGGGATATTTCAATAACCGTAGGACATTTTTCTCTGAGACCCAAGATGGTCTCAGATGTTTAGTGGATTTCCAGCAAATGCACAAGTGTCCGGTTATATTATCTTACAGACATCTTAGACGACGTTCAGAGAATATTTCAGGCAGATCAAGAAATATCGCAAGATGTATTAATTATTTCATACAACACAGAAATGTTGCAAGAACATTGCATAGACATTACATTTAGACATTAACATTATTTACCTTCAAATTAAAAGAATAATCCAATCTCAGCTCAAAAAATTTTTAAAAGTTGCAAAATATACATTTTGCTAAATGCGACCATTTATTTAATTACGTGCGTAAATTAGATGTAAATTTTATAACAGGGTGAGGCTGAGGCCTTGCGCGTGCTGCCAGGTTTGAAGACCCGCGGATGTTGCGATTTTACTTCGCCGGGGGCCTTTTTATATTTGCTCTAAATTGAGATTTACTTACGAGCTGGCTTTACCGTCATGCACCACCTTGATATCCTATTGGAATATCCCGGGCACAACCTACTAATACTGGGATATCCGTGGGATCGCATTTAGAAATCTGGAACAATTTGGGATATCCTCAGGATAAAGTATGCTGTGTGGGATTATTGAATATGTTGCAAATGTAAGTGATAAAAAAAAGCACAAAAGGAAAAATAGTAACTTGTGTAATGTAATAGATAATGTAATAGGCAATGCGATAGGAAGAGAATATACAGAGTGTTTCTTAAATGATGGGCAAAACTTGAGGAATGAATTCCTAGTGCTTAGAGAAGAAAAAAAAGTTATATCAACATAGGTCCAGAAATGATTAGTTCCCAGAGAACACAAAAATGTCTAAAAGAGAACTAAAATATGACAAATTTTTGATATAGTGTCTTTTTGTTAGAGCTTAAAGTCGACTAAAAGATGACTTGTGTCTCTTTTGTTCCGCACTAAATGTCGTTTTATAGCCAAAACTTATAAGATGACTAAAAGACATCTGTCGTTAGGCATCTTTTAGTCGCCTTTTAAAATAATGTTGTGGATGTTTTTGTTCTTTATATTTTATATTTTGGTTTATAAATGAAAGGTTTATGTTAATAAAACTTAAAGTTATAATTTAAAAAAAATTTTATTGCAACAAAAAAACATTTTATTATAATATAGTCACTTTTATATAGATTGCACAATAACACATCACATGTGCATCAACCCACATTGTTATATTCCATGCAATAAGCTCTATTCAATAAACACCTCCACATGATATAGCGTTGCGATTAAAAGCGAGATTGTCAGAGAAATTGCTTGGCGTCAATTTCCTTTGCAATCTCCTCTCCATTAAAAAATTTTAGGTTATGTTCCGCAAAGAAAGCAGATCAGTGATTATCTGATTTGAAATATTCTTTTAGACCTTTGATAGATCCAGGAGAACGTACTAATCAAGAACAATAATCACTAAACGCTCACTGAGCTGTTTTCTCTGCTGATAGGCCAATCAAATTATGGTTTTAAATCAAATTTGAATTCGGGCTCTTAATTTATATGCCATTTGATAGTAAATGGCACTGATAAAAACATATAAATTTTGTGGTTCGTCAACCCTGCTCGTTTTTGCAAAAAAAAACTAAAAACCATAAAAAATTGGCCCCTTTTGATCTCTTACTCGAAACGCTGCGAAAACCGTTTGAGATACAGCAAAATTGCACATAAACAATTTTGTAGACAATTAAATTTCCTATAAAAAAGTTCCGAAAGGTATTTCTCTAAAATCAATAGCTTAGGCGTGAGTGGCGCCCGAAGTCGCGCGATTGGAAAGTGACTCTTGATGAATTCACAAGTTGCTCCGGTTAGTTGTAAAATTCAATATCGGTACTTCAACATTGAATAAAAAATCCCCAAAAATTAAAGGCTTAACTAGATATAATAGGAAAGCTATTTCTGGGATCAAACATTTTTTTATTGATAAATTCGAATTATGACGGCTATGTGACAAAAATTTTTTTTTGTTCGACATCGTAACTTTGATCAATCATATCTCGGAAAGTATTAATCAAATGATTAAAAAATTTTATTTTATAGGTAATTTTATTCTCTAAATATTCAATCTCTTTATATTCCGCCGTAAGCAGTGCAACCGTTGGCCTGCTAACTTTGAATCAAGACAACATTGTACCTTTGACAGAGATTTACGGGGTGAATAATTTGTTATTATTATTAATATTAGGTATGCCTTGAAACGACTAGTTTTAAGTAGAAGATCTCACAAATATTTCAAATTTTTTCTAATTTTTTTTCTTATATTTTTGAGAAGCGAGACTTAATTCTAAAATCAATTGTGTTAAAAATAAATGGTAAAGGGTAGTCATTCTTTAAGGTATTCCTTTCATGACACCAAAGTCTTAAGAATTAACTGATTTTTTGGTACGAGAAAGTTAAAATGCATATCTTTACGCCAGAAAAAAATTAAACCACATTACCGAACATATAAAGAAGAATTATGACTTTGAAAATTCGATATTTATATGTGACGTTATCGAAAAAGTCTATTTTCCACATTTCAATGTAATAATTTGTTTATCAAATATCTTAAGATATTAAATATTGACTGCGCTACATATTCGCTAAACTCTATACTTTCGATAGTGCCGATAAAAATACAGAGTCACCAAATATTTAAACAAAATATGTATTTATGTTAAAAGTTGACTTGAAATGTGGTTTATAGATGAATATTTTTAATGGCGACTTTCAAGGAATTATTTGGCAACGCTGCAAGCTGTGCGCTCATGTCACACTTCAGTTCATCACGTACGGTTTATTATCAACTTTTATTTTCACAAATTGTCCCTTATTTTTGCCCACATTACTCCTCACTTTATGTTTCTTATCACTCATTATTATTATAAAATCTCTCTTTGATAAAAAGAAAATGTCACAATATTCTTTGATTAATGAAATTAACACTTACATTGACACTTTTGTTATCAACTTCACATTTTACAATCGGCGCCCTGAAAAGCGCAGCGTTGCCATATTGTTCTGACAGTAAAATTTACCAAAAAATGAAAAATTTCTGAATACGTAATATTATCACTTTTTTCTTATAAATAAACATAATAATTAATTATAACTTGATTTTATATAAGTTTAATGCAATATACAAGAGTTTTCTGAGGCCCTGCTTAAGCGCCTACAAAATACGGATTCCTTCACCACGCCTATATGTATCAATATTAAATAAATTGTAAACCATGCCGATTGCCTGTGTATATGCCTCGTTATAATACGGACTGCTTATTTTGGTTTTAAAATTTCTTATATTGTCGACCCTTATATCTCAGCTTTTATTTATTAAGGTTTATTACCATGTCCCGTGACATGACTAAACTAACGTTAGATATTTCGTGTCCGTCGTCCTGACAAGTTCGTTGATTCCGTCTCATTCTTTGTATTTCTTTATTTTTTCGGATGACATCTTACATGCTTTTCTACATGGCTTTGTGATATTCCTTTTCTCCTGACTATTGGGTGAATTTAATAATATAATAATGTTGTTCAAATTGACTCGATTTATAGAAAACATTTATTACAGATATCAATCTGATAGTCAATGTTGTTTTTGGACCTATGAATCCTGAAACTCGCTCAACAGGATTGGAGAGGGGGAGTAATTTAATTAATTTTCTCGCTGAAGATGACTCAATTCCGAGCCAAAACGTACGAATGTATACACAGAGAATAAAATCGGTGATTTGATCACTTACGCACTGATAACTGCGTCTGACTCTCATAGCCATCCTATTTTCAAGTCATTATTATTAACATTAGATATGCTTTGAATCGACTATGGCATAGTCGGTAAGACCGTCGCGGAGTACCCTAAACGTGCGCGCTCGCGCACGTAAGCGCGTTTTTGTAAGTTCAAACAAGTTCAGAGTTTTAATTGTTTTAACGATACAATTGAGCGCGAGCGCGCACGCCTAGGGTACTCCGCGACGCGTAGACAGTAATTACCTAAAAATTGACATATTTCCGTCAATAATCAAGATTTTGGGAAAATTCAAATACCATTTTGTTTGTCGTGAAAAGAGGAACAAATTTTCTCTAGTTTATTTTTTTATAGGATGTATAGTTTGATCGCTAGGGCAATTTAAACAAATAAATTGTTAATAACTTTTTATTGCATCGACTTACGAAAAAACTATTTACAGATTCTTGTTCTACGACCCAAGAAACATAAAAAAGCATTAACTTAAGCCATGAAACTCGATAAAAATGCTCAATCAACCTGGCGTATGGACTAATTGACTAATAAGCATGATGGAACTGTAATCTCCCCCGAATAATATTAAACAGCTAGTTATATAGACGGTTAGAATATATTAATTAGGACAATAGTTTCCGCGCCACCCATGGGGTACTATTGCTGACGCGTTTTTTTTTTTAAGTGTTTTCCCCAGTAGGCCTACTCCACTAAAAAGAAAAATAATGTGAAATTTATTAATAAACGAAAGAGCGGAAATTAAAGGAACAGTAGAGAATGATAAAGTAATCACTGCGCTCTGCGCAGAATGCATTTTATTTAGAATTACTGCGCCAATCGCAGAATGCATTTAAAACAACCTGTCTTCGAAGCGCGGATCTAGCTCGCGGCTGGCCGGGGTTCGAAGGAGGTGCGGAGAAGCAGACGGGTGGCGAGGTTAGCAAAATGAAGGCGTGTCTCGGTTAAGAGAAAATAGTTAAATTTATTCTATAACAATGACAATATACGCTCGCGACATTTACAACGGGTCAATGCGTGCGAGGCGACGTTGGTTTAGTCGCGGGCGGCGCGGGGCAACCCGCGGTATGTGCGGGGCGGAGTTGTTGCTTTTGTATTCGCGCGGATCGAATCGCGTGGTGGTAGGTATCGGCACGGGCGGCGCCGGTTTCCCGGCCGGCTCGGCCCGGTGCGCGGAAAAATGACGCGAAGCGCGGCGGCGATATGGATCGCGAAGCGTGGATAACGCGGCGGAAGCGGGTCGTCGGCCGAGGCACCCTCGGCGAGGGCAGAGAAGGCCGGAGGCGCTCTACCTTCTGGTCCAGACAGGCTTCGGATGATTTGGAGAGAGAAGCGGGTCCTTTGCCGAGACACACTCGGTGAAGACAGAGAATGCCGGGGGCGCTCTACCTTCTTATCCGGACGGCTTCGGGTGATTCGGATAGATGCGAAAAGCTGGTCGTTAGCCGAGACACACTCGGCGAAGACAGAGAATGCCGGAGGCGCTCTACCTTGCGTCGGACTGGCTTAGTGCGGGAATTCAGGATCGGTGTTGTCGGAAAGACGGATGATCGGGAATCGCGCTCTGTGCCAGCGATGCTGGGCTTATATACGCGTCGCGGCAACGTCGCGGCGTGGTGGGGGTAGCGACGGCGATCGCGAGCGCCGGGCCGGTGCGGCGGAACGATCGGGGATCGCGGCGCCCCGACGCCGTGATCGCGTTCGGCGGTCTTCGGCCGCCTTCGGCACCGCTCGGCGCGGTGAAGCGGTTGCCGCGTTAAGGAGGTTCTACAGGTACTCTCTAGTCAGTTGAGAGATGAAGAGAAAATCTTCAAATTCATCGATTCTAAGTATTCATAAAATATTTTCGTGAATTTTGATGACGTTAGAGCTTATATCATACCCATATTAGTCAAAGCGAGGAATAATTAAAAATATCGTGTAAGTGCTCCTTTGACTCTGGCGGCTTATAATGGCAGAAAATGTGGTAAAGTCGCGAACTTGACAGTTCTGCTCATATGACCGTGGTTATTTCACAATTTCACATAATTCTAGAGCGAGTACTTCTCCGTAAGCGTTCGTAAACGTTAGGTGCTTAAGTTTGAGGTGCTGTCATACTGTGGTGCTGTACTGGCTGTACACTTTTCGCGCGGGTGCAGTCGCTGCGACATTGCCAAATCTCCCTTGTTATTCGAAGCACGCTACGTGAACTGTGATATGGCCTGTTTCAATAGCCAATATCACAAAATTTTACGCGATAACCCTTGTTTTTCTCGATATTTCTGAAAAGCTTAGATTAAGATCTATAAGAGCTCCGTTTTTTGAATCTCTGGTAGG